TATATTTATATTGAAACAAACTATGATAAAGAGAATAATATTATACAACAAAGGGTAAGGTCACCAGAGTTCAACTATGTTTATTATTATTATTATTATTATTAGAGGACCATTACGTGCGTGATCATGCCATATTTTGAATTTGAATTCCCTTATATGGTAGGATGAAAATACCCTGTAAAATACTGCAAAATTATGACTCACTATAACTTATGGCGTTACGGTATAAAAATATATTGTATATAACCAGATGTATAAAAATACAATTTATCTACAGATAAATCTCTCCAGCATAACAAATTAAATTAATTTCCTTGCTAATACCCACTATAACTGAAGTGAGGCCCATACAAAGATGCCCAGGACTCAAATCTTTTAGTAAAGTTTGGTAAAGAACTTTGTCGTAAATTCTGTATACTCTAAACAATAATCGTTTATCTGTTTTCACTCTGAACTGTGGTTCTCGTCTGATTAAGCTGTGCCACGGTATCATTTTATACAATTTTAAACTGATGAAGAGTAATAATTGTTTTTGTTTATCATTGTTGAAATCATGTTGCACATTTCAAAATGGCCGACACAGAATTACTACTCAAACTTTGTCGTGCTCTGTCAAAGTAAAAATAAACCTTGTCAAAAATGTCTGTCCATGATTCTTGCCCATTGGTCATGAAATGTTCTGGTTTTCAGGGAAGTACTTTTTCTTAGCATTTGCAGGGAAAGTATGTTGTTCTAAACAGTCATTGTTTACTTTCTTTATTCTAAACAATGCTTGTTTGTTCTTCTATAAACCAAGTGGAGAATGCAACATTCCCCTCACTTAAGCAGCAACAACCTTCCGATTTTCAGATCGACAAACTGTATGGATGCATGGTAACTTTATTGAATAAACTGAGCAGATGATTGTGATGGAACACAACATGTAGTATGCATGATGCGTACTACACGTGTGTGTATGGTTTCTGGTGTCTCAGTTCATATGTTAATCAGCCAGATTATTGTTTGGTTGACAAATATTATACATGTCAATCATTACAAGCCCAAAAGGCGCTTACACTGTCGGCAAGTCTGTTGGGATTTCGCAGTTACGAGACTTTGGCATTCAACCCTTGTTTACAAAATTTATATTTATTTTTCAAGAATTTTTCTTTAGAATCGCAACAAACTGCAATCATGTCTAGACGGATACATATATCAGGTCATTTGCCAATTGTTCTATACGAGTTATATAGCATGTACGCCATCACAACACACAACCTGCAAAACTGGTCTGCAAAAAAAATCCAAATTCTCGCTATAACTTTATTAGTTCCCGTTCGGACGCAGTGGCCGAATAGAGGCTATTTTTGTGCTAAAAAATCATCAAAATCAAGCTTTTCCCAGCTGTTTACAGATGGATTTTGTTCAAACCTTGTATATACGTTGGACATTATAGAACCTTGATGCACATCATTTTGTTTTTCAGATACATGTAAGATTCAAAATGGCCGACTGGCAGCCATTTTGTTTTAATGAATGTGGTTCTAGTGCCATATCTCTGACTTGCTTAGACTGATTATGTTCAAATTTTGAATATTCATTATAAATCATGTCATAGATATACAGATTTATTGGTTTGACGATCCTATTCAAAATGGCTGAATGGTGGCCATTTTTGTGCTAAAAAATCATCAAATATCAAGCATTTCTGGCATTTATGGATGGATTTTGTTCAAACTTGGTACATACATTAGACATTATGGGTTCCTGATGCACGTCAATTTATTTTTCAGATCGGATTTAAAATGGCCGACTGGTGGCCATTTTGCATTAATGAATGCAGCTCTAGTGCCATATCTGACATGCTTTGACTGATTATGTTCAAATTTGATATATTCATTATACATGTATTCAAAATGGCTAATCAATGCTGTTCCAGAACAATACTCTCAATACTCGTTTGATGATCAGATACAAATGTCAATCATTTTAATGTTAAACAATCATCATAATCATATTCATGACAAGTTTATGTTTATGTTTATAATCGAGAAATAGAAATCAGATAATGTATTCAACTCATTGTAGCGAGTTTTTTTTTAGAGGTACAATGTATACCAAAATGGGACCGGCCGAGAAGTACGTACGGACACTACTCGACACCCCTGTTGACACCTTGAATAAGGCTGCCATCACCCAATGCATCTCAGCAATTGACGGACAGTAGGTGTTAAGTTAGTCTTTGTACTTCAAAACTGCTGTCAAAACACAATAGAAATTTTGGGAGCCATGCAAGTACCCGCGACTTAGCCGAATCGCGACTTACCGAGGCGCGACTTAGCGAGGGGTCACTGTATCTTAAATTCGATAACTAACTGGGACTGTGCCATGCATGGCTTGTTAGACTAGTATTCTACCGATATCAATAATTTAACAGACTGTTTTGGGGCATAATGCAGGTCTGAGTCGGAAGTGCGCTCCTTGGACCTAAAATGACCCAAAACAATGATAACGGCAAAGTAGGAGTACGCTATCAGTAAGAAGCAATGAACAGCACAGTTATGTACATGTAACATGAAATATTTGCCTAGAAGCAATCATGATCCCATCCATAGCAACACAATTCTCCACTTTGTACAGTGAACTCTGTGTTTAATAGTGTATTTGATTGTTTTACTCTGAAATGACTTCTATAGCAGTAGGGATTTTCAATATAGCATTTCTTGTACATCTGTACTTGTTGGTGTACATTTGAGGAAAGTGTTATATCGCCCTCAAATGGACTAATTATCAGTCACTTTGTTTATTGGTCCTGGGTGCAAATCTGTCAAATCAGTTCTGCCAGCCAGGCATACTTTTCGTAGCAGAACTAAAATTCATCGTCAATACCCACCCACCCAACGAATCTCATAATATTCAAAGCTTGATTTTGAGGAAATATACATTGTGTTATTTGCCAAATTTAGACAAAATTATTAGAAAATACATAATTTTTACCAAATCCCGTCTTTTCTCTAAGACATGACATTATTTCACAAAAAATATCAGTTCCATTGTCAAAGTAGCATTTTTATTGCTGGTTTTCAGACCAAATGTCTCAAGAAGGATGATTTTCTGAATTCGGGTGGCAGACCTTAATTTTTGTACGCAGTCCCCTAGTAGAGGTACTAAACGTCACACTCTGTGATCATTCATACAGCTTCCTTACAGTCTTGGGACTATTATTCAGAACATTAAATAGGCACATGAATTTTGGGAAATCTGTTAAAATGTTTAATTACATTCAGCGTGCCCGAATATGGCAATCGTTTCGACAGTTTTATTGTGTTTTCATATTCTAATTTCGATGTGCCTTGTGCCACTATACAAACATTTAAATATTTCATATTATTACATTCATCAACACGAGCTCAATTCATGCATATTTGTACCATCAACTAATTTGCACAATAATCCCAAGAAAAGTTTATGAAGAACAGTATCGACATAGAATTTTTGCATTATTGATCATCATGGAATGCAACTAGGTCTGAAATTGCTATATACTTCTTTATTTTAAACTGTGATAAATAGTAACATTTAACAGAAAATATAGTGACGGATATATCACAATAGTAGTCTGCATATGGGTTTCAGGAAACATGGTAATAATGGTATCGTTATCATCTCTCAACTTCGTCTTATTTGTCGATTGCATTTGCCGAAGGGACAATGCAACGCAGGTGATTTAAATATCCGCTATCATTTTCCCCATTTATTACCCATACCCTTTCCAACCATCGAATTCGTCTTGTGCTCCTGTTGGTACACACATACCATGCCTGTGCCTGCAAACATATGACATTATTGTATTAATATCGTTGCACTGGATTATGAAACCTTAAACACAGATAAGCAAAAAATGTGCCTTAGCCACTGCCCTTAGCTGAGATCTCCATGTGATGCTACTTCACCATGTCGTATTAGAAGAATATTCTTTCAAAGGTCATGCTAATCCACTTGAAACGTTTACACATTATAAAAAAAGGAATCGTTCTGTCCTATGCATATGGTAGAGTGACATATATAAAATCATTGACAAAATTTTATGCATTATATTGGTTGTTCAACCAGTTGAAGTAATCTGCTATGCTCAATTCTGCTCTGCTCAACTCAACTCTACTCTACTCTGCTCTGCTCTGCTCAGCTCAACTCTGCTCTATTCTATTCTATTCTATTCTATTCTATTCTATTCTATTCTATTCTATTCTATTCTATTCTATTCTATTCTATTCTATTCTATTCTATTCTATTCTGTAGCATAATATTAAATGTGATAGAGTCATATACCTCAATGGATCTCTCATATCTTGTACGAGGTAATCCAAGTACCTCTTAAACAGAAGTCTTTGACATCTGTTCTCTTTCTGATCTCGGGATCTGTACTCTCTGGTACTCTATCCACCCATCTCTCACGACAAGTTACACCATTAGGAAACGCCAATCGGCCAACCCTAATAAAACACACATATAATTCTAACCCATACTTATACCAAGTCAAGACGAATTAACTATATATAACTACAGTGGTTTTGATTTTAAAGGCTTGGCGCCCTTTATTGTACTGTTAATATATGCCTGCACTAAATGAATGATGTGGCTGGGGCTTGGTTGAAACAATTTAATGATATTTATGCAGGCTTTTTACTCTTGTACCAGGACAGCTACAATGTGCCAGATATTTATACCCTGAATTTATACCTATTTGGACAGTTAATAAGACCTACCGGTATATACCTATATATATACCTAAATTTTTTTTAAAAAGCAAGACCCATTTCAGTATGATTTCTAGGTAATTTCTATTAGCAACCAGTGCATTTGAGCTGACACAGGCTGTTATTAATATATTAGTATTGTAACATACAAGTTTACCATCATTACCACGATACTCGTATAGTCACAAGTATACTGTGTCAACTTTCAAGCATACCATGTCCACTTTTTAGGATATAGTCAAGGCATTTTACAGGAAACTTCTATCACACCGTTGTATAGAATCCTTGTTGTGTTTTATTTGTACTGTATGACAATATATACACCTGATGTGGTTGGCAAGTACATACTGGTGTAAGTATTTTATACAACAATTCGTTTACATACCTCAATGTTCTGCATTCATAGGTGAAACTGTCTCTTTGTACATCGGTTGATACAGATGCACATGTTACTGTACGACCAGCCACTGTTTGACGAATCTGAAATCCTGTTGCACGTACTTCTAATTACAATAAACAAACAAACAACAAGACTTTGTCACAACTACATTTCTAGCAATTATTTCTCAGAAAACTGTAAATGTATTCATGCTTATACTCAACAATAATGCATTAGTTCTATGTGAAAGGGAAATACACTGTATAAGTGAAATTACGAGGCGAGAATCCATATAGGATTTTTTCAATAATTAATGTTCAATGGAAGTGGTACTTGGTAAAACTATTAATAAGTGGGCCGTTTGTACCTTTAGACACCTATCTGATTTTAGACAATTGGATCTCCCTTTAGAGAATTTTGAGAAAAATAGAGACCCTAAAATGTATACCTCTTCTTTTGTAAATAGATTTTACAAAACGTTCTCTAATTTTTTTTATCCATTTATGAAGAATATATCTAATTCATGAACAATGCTTAAAGATTAAACCCTTTTTAGAGACTTTTGCTTTAAAAAATCACCCCATGTGGCAGCACACCTCTAAATTAATTGATATTTACGTATATGATCAGTGTTGATTGAAAATAACATTCACACAATCCTGTGTGCCAATGTCTTGGCGGAACATAGTGTTCTGCACCAGTTGAATATGAGGTGTAACCATAATAAATAAATTGAAAGTATAGCGTGTGTATGTCTTTGAAGTCAGTATATTGGTATCATTATATTGTGTATGCGACTGTTTTTTTAAAACTATATGGTAAATTAAACAATATGTTTGAGAATGCATTCAATACAATATAGCGTGAATGTGCGTCCATTTAAAAATGATCCTTGACTTTGCTCTATTTCTGTACAAAGGGAAAATTTATCGCCATCATTTACATTCTTAAAGTCACTACGTTTTTTGGAAGCTTAAAGGGCGCTAGTCGTTGCGCCACGTTCTGTTCGATGTGGGACTCATAGCGACGTATACAACGTGTGTAAAATACATTGTTTATTTACATGAAATTCGAACACGCACTTTAAAGCGAGAGGGTCGTCACCTTCGCATGCGCGGGAATTGAGTCTTAAGCGACGATAACAACACACACTAGAAACGCTCTTTGGTAGACGCTTATTTGTAAACAATGACACGCTATGGCCATCTGAAGCACAGGTGACGACTCTCTCACTTTGAGACAGAAATTAAGATATTTTGCACAGCAGTTATAAGCATCTGTGACTGTTTGTCGATAAACGATTTAAAGTTAATGCGGCATTGTGTATTTATACGCAATATTTTGTTGAACAATCCTTACCTTCAGTTTCACAGTATGTTCCTGTGAAACCAGCTGGGCATGTACATCGACCTGTCACTGGATCGCATGTCCCACCATTTCTGCATCTACATCTACTTTCACAGTTAACCCCATAGTAGCCAGTTCTACAAGGCCTGCTACAGTCTCTGCCTTCAAATCCTGCATCACATACGCATGTCCCATCGCCTGGTGAGCATGATCCACCATTGCATGAGCAGCGATTCCTACACTGAAGACCCCAAGTATTCAGTGGACATTGATCTTGGCAGTTACTACCTGTCCACCCAGCCAGACATGTACATCTACCATTAACATTATTACATGTACCATCATTTCTACAAGTGCATCGATTAGCACAGTCAACTCCATATGTGCCAGAGGGACATGGCTGTGCACATGATGGACCTGTATAGCCAGCAGGACAGTCACACTCTCCAGTGAATCTATTGCAATCAGTACGATCTCTACATCGACATACGTTTTCACAATTCTCCCCATAGAAACCTGGGTCACATTCTTTCTCACATCGCACACCATGCCAGCCAGCAGGACAAGTACATCTACCATTAACATTATTACATGTACCATCGTTTGTACAAGTGCATCGATTAGCACAGTCAACTCCATATGTGCCGAAGGGACATGGCTGTGCACATGATGGACCTGTATAGCCAGCAGGACAGTCACACTCTCCCGTGAATCTATTGCAATCAGTACGATCTCTACATCGACATACGTTTTCACAATTCTCCCCATAGAAACCTGGTCACATTCTTTCTCACATCGCACACCATGCCAGCCAGCAGGACAAGTACATCTACCATTAACATTATTACATGTACCATCGTTTGTACAAGTGCATCGATTAGCACAGTCAACTCCATATGTGCCAGAGGGACATGGCTGTGCACATGATGGACCTGTATAGCCAGCAGGACAGTCACACTCTCCCGTGAATCTA